CTAATCAGGTGCAGCTGGTGGTGATCTGGGGATGTAAAGCAGGTGTGTCAGGGTGAGGGAGCTAAAACAGAGTGAGGTCTGTGAGAGAGGCAGGTGCAGCTGGGCAAACCTGACAGAAACAAGTGCAAATTCATTACTTTAGTAGAACTATTAGATGTAAATTAAATGTTACTTACCATGAAATTTTTTTTTTTATCAAGGTTGGTTAGCCTACAAGTCTGCTAACACACACAATCTTACCACTGGAACATGTCCAGGCATGTTATGTGGGTATGAGACAGAACTTGTAATCCTGAAGTCAATGTGGAGAAAAATTTACTTATCATGCCAACTTTTTTAAGTTATGTTATACCCCAGTTCTTTTATTGGACAGATCCGAGAAAGGAAGGAGTCTGTCTTTCTTGATTTTAGTGCTGGTTTATTTAAAAAAAAATATATGAATAAAGATTACAGAACACAATCCGGGTTGTTCCTTCCTTCAGAAACACACACACTCTGGCTGCTGGAGACAGGAGATCCCGGAAAAACAGAGCCTAATACATTTGTCAGTTTTTGGGCTAACCCCTTACAAAAATGAAGTCCGTCCAGCAGACTCCATCTCTTATCTAGAGCTCCACAGGCTTGGAGCAGCTGCACGTTTTTAATTCTAACCGGTTCTTTTGTCTGAAGGCCCCAAGAAATAACACTGGATACAGGAATCAGCTTCAAGTAGATTTATTTTCTTCTGGTTAAATGCAGAGTTATTACAGTGTGCTGGGCTCTGAGAGATGACAAGTCTCCAAGAGCATCGATAATCACAAATCATTCACATTTATCTTCTCGGGCTGGGACTGCCCTATACATGGGTGGTACATTACACGTCAATATTCTAGAATGTTCATATAGGCAGTATGTGTGTGTGTGTGTGTGTGTTGTTATCTTCTATTTTCAGGCGTTTCTCTCTAACTGAAAATGGACATGCAGTTAGCTGTGTCACTTACTTCCCTGATTCTGTTGTAAAAAACCCCTTACTCATAGTTCAGACATGAGTGAAAAGTTCAAGCCCATCAGACTTCACCGGCTGTAAAATAGCATACATTAACAGTGTCTTATCTTTAGTTGTCAGGACACTTATCTAATGCAATCTGCTCTTGCACAATCATCTAAGAAAATAAGTAACACTACAAGTTGAACTACAGCTGAAAATTATAACTTTTATGCATGTATAAGAGCAAGGTTAATACTGATACATGG